ATTAGTTCACCTTGCCCCTAACTATTGCTCAGGAAATGGTAGGTCTTACTTCATAAATTATGATTCACAATTAACATCTATAACACGTGCCATAGGGACCTGGTTACGAATAACCCACTCAGAGGCTTAAAAATGGCTGAGCTCAGGCTGAAGAAGACAATACAGGTATAAATATGGATTTATAAATCTTAAATCTGTCAGCACTCTAGAAAAAATAACTGAAACTGCACACCCTACTGATGCAAAACCATCAGATATTAAAGAGGGCACATTACTGTAATTCATTGTTACTCCAATGATCTTACAGAATTAAGACCACATTCATAACATCCAAATTTGTCTCCAAGGAAAAACTTTGAGTTGGGGAATATCTGGATCATAAAGTAATTTCCTTCGGTCAGAGTAAAGGCATTTTATCTGTGAATATTATTTCCATAGCATATTAGATGTAGCACAAGTTAGTGACAAAGTGACCTTTCTCTTAAACAATTCATAGATTCACTAGAATTTTCTTCAACTTTGGGGAACTAAATATATTCCATAGTCTTAAAAGTCTTAAATACCAATTTACCTCAAAAATTTCTACCATCCTGCTCACCATTATCCTCCCTTTGTAGAGTTATGAATTTTACACTTTTCACATTTGTTAACTTTGATTCCAGGTTTAGTTGTTCATCATATTTTCAGATGTAAAATTCATTATTGCTAAACTGACATTTGCCTAATAGATTTTTTTCTTGACCTTTTATATCACAATTAAGCTATATTTTTGTTGTCCAATCTGTCAGTCATGTCCTACTCTTTGCGACTCTTTCCATGAACAGAGGAACTCCAGGTTTTCCAGGCAAGAATACTAGAGTGGATCACCTTGGCCTCCTCGGGGGATCTTCCCAACCCAGGGATCAAACCCATGTCTCCTGTATTGGCAGGTGGGTTCTTTACCTCTGAGCCACTAGGGAAGCCAAAATGAACGTTAATTTAAGTTGAATATTTTTTTACTATCTGTTGAGAACAAAACATTATATTGAGAGATAGAAGAGTAAGCCAAAATTCCCTGATTAAAGAAATTTGAAATCTGCTTGCTCCCATGTATGGAAGTTGAGCAGATGAGGCTGAATGGAGAAGGAATATATTACCTCTCATAGATACAATTTGCTTAGATATGTATTTTCTAATTGGCCGTGTCTTTTATTAAAAATGAAATAGGAACATTCTTGATTACTGGGAAAGGGTAGTGTTTCCCTGAGAACACCTCAAGCATGGATATGCAAAGCCAACTGTGAGATTTTCCACAATAGCTACATTGTCCAATACACCATAGTCAGTTCTATCTGGTCTTGACTGCATATTATTTTAATATTCTAAGGAAAATGACACAGAGGCAGGGATTTCCTAAAATGGATGTAGCAAAAGAAAACAGAGGGGAGAAAAAAAAAACAAACCATGGGACAATTAGAGCAGTAAGCCATTTCCCGATGCTAAGGAGGGTATGCTTGGGAGTGGAGTTCAGGTGCTCTAGGGACAGAACTATGATGTTAGGATGCAGCAGGATTTTTTTGGGTCAAGTAAAAGCTGAAACAACAAATCTCACAAAACTAACCAGGTCTTCTCTTAATAGGTTCATTTTGGTTATATCTATATGTAGGATTCTGGGAGGTGGCAAAAGTAGTGCCTGATAGTTTTTCAATTTCTAGTATTTAATATGTAAATGGTGTTTATACTTAGTATTTATCTGAAAATGGCATATTATGTAAACGCAATCCAAGAATACCTGGGTGAACTCATAGCATGTGATATGGTTCCACATTCAAAAGAAATACTCCTCTGTTATTAAAAAAAAAAAAAAACTATATTTTAAAAGGAGGATGCATTGAAAATTAGTTTAGGTATTTACAGAAGTCTCTTAAATAACCAGTGAGACATTTTGGCTATAGTATATGGCAAAGCATTTTAAAGAACCTGTTCTTCCATGGATCTTTCTGATAACTCATGGTAGTGCAGCAAACTCTGTCTCTCCCCAGTACCAAAAGTGGACCACTTAGTTCTCTTACTCACCTATCCTTTGCTTGAATTTCCAGATTTATTTCTCTCTTTAGGCCCTAGCTGAAAATTCTTTATATAAAGAATGTTTATAAATCTTTATATAAAGGTTCAGCTCTTCAACCCTAACCTTTCTCCTAATTGGCATAACAAAAGATCTAGTGGATTATCTAATAAAACAGAATTTTCTAACACTGCAGAGGGATGTGTCTGTTTGCTTTAAGGATGCTGTATCAGTACTAAAGAGTAACTAAAGGTCATGAATTCATGTAAATACTTCCAATTTACATGCAGTAAGCACCAGGTTAAAGTATTTATGTACTGGATTTCATTGTCTTATTAAAAGCCATACTTTGTCTCAAAGTACTATCTTCATTTTCCCCCCCACCCTTCATTTTTCTACTTGTACTTCTCTTCAAAGTGCAAGTTTATAAACAGCTGTCCATATTTTTAGAGACTATTTACTAATAAGACATTTTCCAAACTGTATTTCTAAATCTCTATCAATCATAGCATATCATAAAAGAAGCAGTTAAAAAAAAAAAAAAAAAAAACAAACCATGGGACAATTAGAGCAGTAAGCCATTTCCCGATGCTAAGGAGGGTATGCTTGGGAGTGGAGTTCAGGTGCTCTAGGGACAGAACTATGATGTTAGGATGCAGCAGGATTTTTGTGGGTCAAGTAAAAGCTGAAACAACAAATCTCACAAAACTAACCAGGTCTTTTCTTAATAGGTTCATTTTGGTTATATCTATATGTAGGATTCTGGGAGGTGGCAAAAGTAGTGCCTGATAGTTTTTCAATTTCTAGTATTTAATATGTAAATGGTGTTTATACTTAGTATTTATCTGAAAATGGCATATTATGTAAACGCAATCCAAGAATACCTGGGTGAACTCATAGCATGTGATATGGTTCCACATTCAAAAGAAATACTCCTCTGTTATTAAAAAAAAAAAAAAACTATATTTTAAAAGGAGGATGCATTGAAAATTAGTTTAGGTATTTACAGAAGTCTCTTAAATAACCAGTGAGACATTTTGGCTATAGTATATGGCAAAGCATTTTAAAGAACCTGTTCTTCCATGGATCTTTCTGATAACTCATGGTAGTGCAGCAAACTCTGTCTCTCCCCAGTACCAAAAGTGGACCACTTAGTTCTCTTACTCACCTATCCTTTGCTTGAATTTCCAGATTTATTTCTCTCTTTAGGCCCTAGCTGAAAATTCTTTATATAAAGAATGTTTATAAATCTTTATATAAAGGTTCAGCTCTTCAACCCTAACCTTTCTCCTAATTGGCATAACAAAAGATCTAGTGGATTATCTAATAAAACAGAATTTTCTAACACTGCAGAGGGATGTGTCTGTTTGCTTTAAGGATGCTGTATCAGTACTAAAGAGTAACTAAAGGTCATGAATTCATGTAAATACTTCCAATTTACATGCAGTAAGCACCAGGTTAAAGTATTTATGTACTGGATTTCATTGTCTTATTAAAAGCCATACTTTGTCTCAAAGTACTATCTTCATTTTCCCCCCCACCCTTCATTTTTCTACTTGTACTTCTCTTCAAAGTGCAAGTTTATAAACAGCTGTCCATATTTTTAGAGACTATTTACTAATAAGACATTTTCCAAACTGTATTTCTAAATCTCTATCAATCATAGCATATCATAAAAGAAGCAGTTAAAAAAAAAAAAGTAGCCCTGAGTATGCACACAAAAGTTGAAATCGAAGTGAACTCCTCTGAGCTGATTTCTTAGGTCAAGGAGAGAAAATGGTCTTTGAATGCCTGATAAGGTCACAGACACAAGTTCCAGTGCATTTATGGTAAATCCATGTGACAACTCCTATAGCCATTAACCTGCGTCTGCCCTCAGGGTACCCTGTACAATCTTTGCATGTCTGGGATGGTTGAGGGGGCAGCAGGAGTCCTCTGAGAAACGTCAGACTTAGGAAATATTAGCAGTGGCTCACATAGAGCATTTCCAGTTGAAAACTAGAAGTGATGAGGAACTTTATCTTACAAATGTGCTAGAAACCAGAAGTTACTATGAAATAAATTCAGGGACTGGCTGTGGTGACTGGGCAATAAAAGTTATAATTAAAAATTGTCATTAAAGCTGGAATCCTTAACTCATTGGCCCTAAAATACATATTATAGGACTTTGTGAATTTTGGTTGTTGTTATTCAGTTGCTAAGTCGTGTCTAACTTTTTCTGACCCCCATGAACTGGAGTACACAGGCTTCCCTGTCCTTCACTGTCTCCCAGAGTTTGCTCAAACTCATGTCTACTGAATCAGTGATGACATTCTTTGGGAATTTAGGTAGTAAAAATTATATTATACTTAAATTGCTAAGAATTATGATGATACTATACACTAACTGTAAATTTATTCTAGTAATGGCTATATAATGATACTTGCCTCCAGGTTTGATGGAATAACTGCTATGGGTTATTATAGACACAATACTTTTTTACAAAATCTCTGGATAGCTCCAATGCATGAAACACATCCCTTTATGAAGTCCTTCCAGATGCAATACATGTTTTGGGTAATTTATTTTGGGCCAAGAATTACTACTTGGTATTTGGTGTTACCTCCAGAACTGTGTAGGAGGCTGAATTTGTAATGGCAATCACTTTCAGTACAAAGTGAGCAATGTCCTTAAAATAAAATGGCATTCTATGAATTCAGGGAAATATAAAGATTGTAAAATAGTGAATAAATGTCATATATCCTAGATATTTATGTATCTATTCAAGCATTTACAATGGAGCAAGACAGGAAAAAAGTTAAGTAGAAAAAAATGTTGAAAAAGTAAATGAAATTAGTTGTATCCTACATAGTGCAAGAACAATCTTCTCGGTTACAAGTAAGATATTTCCATCAACCTGCAGAAAAATACATGATGAAAAGGCCTCATTGTAGCATCTGACAGAATTTTTATTTGCTTACTCACCCACAGGAGACATTTCTGGAACACTAGCAATGTAAGGTCCATCCAAAAATTTCGGCTCATTATCATTAATATCCTGCACTTTGATGATGAATTCCGATTCAGGTTCCAGGGGCTTCCTGGTTTCTATGTCCACAGCCTGAGCACGAAGGGTATAGAAAGGTTTTTCCTCTCTATCCAGGCTCCTTATGGCATGAATGTCCCCTGTAGTTTCATCAATGGTAAAAACGGTGCCAGCGCCATCTCCCGAGAGGGTGTATTTTACAGTGCCCTCTCCTTTATCTAAGTCGGAATGGAGCTTTAGGGAGAGAGAGAGAGACAGAGAGAAATACCATTAAAGGGATGCTTACATCTTAAAAAGTCATAATTGCACTATAATTTTTTTTTATCAGAAAAGTTAAACCAAAAATTTATGGCTCTTTTTTCCTTTTTCCCTTTTTTTCATCAATTTTTTTTACAAATATTTTTAACAGAAAAATTTGGAAAATGTATGGTGAGCACCTACATATACTATATATCTCAGAGATTCCACTGTTTCCCTTTCAATCTTACTATACAGGACTTTTGATTTATCACATAGATAGACTGCACATCTATCTTTTCATTAACTCTCCCATCAATCCATCTTATTTCTCCATGCATTACAGAAGTCAGAAGTATAGCCCCAAATCCATCAACATGCATAAATACAATGATTTTGAACATTTACTTCTTTCACATACTTTGGGGGATGAAATTTCATAAAATGAAATGCACAACTCTTAAGCACACTTATTGCCTCATTTTAAGTGACTGTTGTATTAAAATAGATTAACTGATATATATTAAATCAGTCCATAATGACACAAAGAATCAGGCATGACTGAGCATGCACATGCATGTACACATATTAAATCAAAAACCTTCCAAATACCCTGAAGATAGAAGTCAATAATGTGCATCCAGTGAGACATATAATAAAAACAAAGCAAAACACAGAAAACGCTATCTTTTAATTTGAAAGGAGAGGACAGTTTTGGCATACCAGGTCGATTTCAGATATGAATGATGGAGTATCTCATTTTAACAAACTGACTCTCAATGAGTTATTCAATCTTACTCAGCCAGATGATGGGTAGAATAACTGATTATTCCTTCAGATTCACAAATGTTTAGCTCTAATCTGTACTATATATTTGAAATGTAATAATATAGAAAAGATTTGAATTTCTGCTAATTTATTTTGAAATTCAGCACATGTCTAATTGACTATAATACAAGATGGAATGAGAGACATATAAATATAGTAGATAGAGGACCATTAAGAAGAGAAATTATTATTGTGATACTGTAAATCAGTGTTTTTCAAACTGGAGTCCAAGAATTAACATAAGATGACCCTGATGCTGGGAAAGATTGAAGGTAAAAGGAGAAGAGGGCCACAGAGGATGAGATGGTTAGACAGCATCACTGACTCAATGGACACAATTTTGAGCAAACTCTGGGAGACAGTGGAGTACAGGGAAACCTGGCGTGCAGCAGTCCATGGGTGTCACAAAGAGTTAGACAACTGAAGTGACTGGGCATGCATGCATAGCATGTGATATAAATATTTCATTATATACAATCTCTAAGAATATGTATGAGTGGAAGTCACTCAGTTGTGTCTGACTCTTTGCAACCCCATGGACTATACAGTCCATGGAATTCTCCAGGCCAGAATACTGGAGTGGGTAGCCTTTCCCTTCTCCAGGGGATCTTCCCATACCAGGGATCAAACCCAGGTTTCCCTCATTGCAGGCGGATTCTTCACCAGCTGAGCCACAAGGGAATTCCCAAGAATACATATACTCATATATATAATGTAAATAATATACATTCATATTCTAGTTAGATTTAAAAGGATGCTTATTTTTATAAATCATATTAATTTTCATCCAGATGCTGATCTTAAATGTTTTAAAATATTTTTATCTGATTTCAGTGTTCAAATTTTTAAATTTAAAAGTTCATTCCAGTCAAGAGAGTAACCAAAGAAAATATGTTAAACTTTTAGTGTAACCAAAACCATTGGTGCCATATTTTAAACTTTTTGTGCAAGTATAACTCTCTTGCAAAATTTAGGATAAAAATGAGTTTTGTTTTTCTTATTTCAACACAGCCTAAAAGTTTTGAAAATATTTTAAAGCATATAATAATCCTTTGCAAATAGGCATTGTGTGTATTAGTAATATTAAAAAAATATCAGCTTTACCACATTTGTCCTTAAACTCAACGTCCTCCTTTAGAATCAATAAAATAACATCATCCTTCATATTAATGTCATTAAATGACTTTATTCATTTTGTGAATTTGTATTTATTCCAAATGGCTCTGAAGTACACTTGCATAAGTGCATAAACAAAGAATTTATACTGGGTGAATGCTATAAATTAAGCAATGAGAAAACCATAAAGGAGCACCACATTTTTTTTTTCCTTAAAAGTCTCTGTGTATTTTACTCAAGTCTAAAGAAAATTGCTAAAAATGACAAGAAGAAGTTTTTTCCTCCTAATTTTTTATAAACTGCTATGAAGCATAGGAAGTTTCAAGCGTAAAATCAAGCTGTAGATAAATGTCCTTTGAACTTAGGAATTTCAAATTACAAATTTCACCCATACCATTAAAGGTTTTCAACACAGTGAGAATTACTTTTGCTTTCAAATTTATCTGAACATGTGAGACAGGCAAAAGCAATGACTTTATAAACTGGATCCATTTTGCCAATGGCCCCAAAGGATATCTGCTAATTTTGTGGGAACCAAGTGAAAATTCTAAGTAGGTTTTTACAATGTGATCCAAGTAGAGTTACCAAAAATATCTCCATTTAGCCAAAATCAGAACTGTTTTCTTTTCAAACTGACATAAGACTAAAAAAACAAATGTGTTTTCAGTTCATGGATCCAAGATCCAAATGAAATTCAATTGCTGCTACTCCTTACACGTCTATCTTTTCCTTCTAATTTAAAGTTGGGTTTTGCAGAGATTAAAGCTTCAAGAAGAAACGTGTGAAAAGATGTTAAAATTTAAACTGAAAATGAGATTGATGAAGGTAAAATTCTCAAGAGGATTAGAATGATTATAGCAGTTTATTGCATGATAATACCTTAAAGAGGATCACCTGCAGTATCCGGCATTGACAGGCAATGTTTAAAATTATTTATTCAGTATTGATTGAGTCCACTATATGCATGACTAGCTAAAATATAGGTATTTTTGCAACATTACTTCTAATGTTAAATGATTTTAGCCTGATGTTGGGTATCTTAGAATTTTTTTTTGTATTACATATAGAATAATTTGAGTAGAGAATGTTATAAGCTAACATGAAAATCCCCACCATCCTCTTACCTAGAGATAACTTCTATCACTTTATACCCTTTCTGTTATATATATACACATTCTTATATATCTGCAAGTTTATATATATATTTATATATGATTTTATGTGCTGCAGTACTGTGCAGTCTATTCAGTTATGTCTGACTCTTTATGACCCTAATGATCATAGAATGCAAGGCTCCTCTGTCCATGGAATTCTCCAGGCAAGGATACTGAAGAATGCCCTCCTCCAGGGGATCTTCCTGACCCAGAGATCGAACTCATGTTTCTTGAGTCTCTTGCACTGGCAGGTAGGTTCTTTACCACTAGTGACACCTGGGAAGCCCATAATTTTTTATGTATATATAAGTCTCTTATTATAAATACATATAAATGATATAAAAATGAGAAACCTGTCAACATTTTCCATAACCATAATCATTTCCAGTGTAATTTTAAATTCTTCAGAATTACTTTTTAATACCTGCATTATATTTTTTAAAGGAAGTTGAGTGATTCAATGTCTTTTGCTCATCCTTTCATAAGTGATGTGATGACTATGTGTGTGTTGTCCTGTTTAATTCCATAATGAACAGGCAAATACAAAAGATGGAGCGTGAAAATGAGATGCCAAGAGAGGCTTAAAAAAGATACTGAGGACTAGCTTCAGAATGTGAGCAAATCTGAATTCCAGTGTCTAAAAGTTTTGAGAAAGCCAGCCTAAAGTTAAGTATTTACGAGCATCTCCCTGATTATATTTTAGAAACTGATGCACAAAAAAAAAAAAGAAAGAAAGAAAGAAAGAAATTTATTCTTATTTTCTCTGGGTTTAAAAGTGCACATAAAATGGAAAATACTTTTTATATCACTACAACCAGCAGTGATTTTATTTCCATTTGCTACTTCCCAGGATAAGCAGTGGTTACCAGGCATGAGAAGGGCATAGAAAATGTTGGGCAGAGAAATGTATAATTTTGACAAATTTTTTTTACTGGAAAGTTAAAACTTTGTTGTTATTGTTCAGTTGTTAACCCATGCCTGACTCTTTGTCACCCTATTGACACCAGCATGTCAGGCATCCCTATCCTTCACTATCTCCTGGAATTACTCAATCTCATAACCACTGAGTCAGTGAAACCATCCAATCATCTCATCCTCAGTCATCCTCTTCTCCTCCTGCCCTCAATCCTTCCTAGCATCAAGATCTTTTCCAATGAGTCGGTTCTTCGCATGAGATAGCCAAAGTGTTGGAGCTTCAGCTTCAGCATCAGTCCTTTCAATGAATACTCAGGGTTGATTTCATTTAGGACTGACTGGTTTGGTCTCCTTGCTGTCCAAGAGACTCTNATTATTTTCTCCCAATCTGAGGGCTGTCTTTTCACCTTGCTTATAGTTTCCTTTGTTGTACAAAATCTTTTAAGTTTCATTAGGTCCCATTTGTTTATTTTTGCTTTTTGAAACAAATATTTGATTTGGTGTAAATACCTGCAAACTACTTTACTATGTGTTTATGGGTATGATGTTATTACGGGTATTAATCTAACTTGCTTTTTAGATTATATTGTAAACAATTTGCTTTTCCAATAAGTATGAATTTATTTACATCTATTTATGTTAATCACAAGTATTTTAATCAAAATAATACATTGAAATGGCTAAAATCAGAGTATGGAAGTGTTTATAATATACAATTTTTACACTCCTTTTCTCTGTCTTTTTCACCAGGGAAATCTGTATCTATTGTCTTCCAGAAACCAACAGTAACATTGATGTCTGATTGATAAATCCATTGCAAGTAAAGAGCTTGTTTTTTCTCCCCCCTTATATTTTCTTCTAAAATGTTTGCAACCTTATTTTCATTTTGGTATTCTAATTATTTAGAACATTGTCTCCAAGTATGAGTTTATGTGTGCTTCTGTTTTGAATAGTGTGTCCAGATATGAGTTGATACGTTTGTGA